AAGGCCAAGGTCAAGTCCTAGAGGCAAGGAGGGGGAAGGGGGATGATGGGAAGGGGGAAGAGGGAGGAAGAGGAAGGAAAGATAAAGGGAGGGAGAGAGAGGAGGAAGTGAAGAGGAGGAAGAAGAAAGGGAATCAGGGGTTGGAATCCTAACTTAGGAGGTAGAGATAGGAGATCAAGAGTTCAAGGCCAACATCAGCAACAGAAGGAATTCAAAACCAACCTGGGCTACGTGAGACAATGTTGAACGAACAAAAGAAAAGGTGGTTCATGCCTTTAATCCCGGCACTTGCACTTGGGAGGCAGACACATTTGAGTTCGAGACTACCCAGCAAGTTCCAGGACAGCCAAGGCCATAACTACAAAAAAAAAAAAAAAAAAAAAAAAAAAAAAAGGGTGTCTTGCCCCTTATCCCCCGCCCTCTGCCTGGGGAGGGGAAACACTTTTAGTGTGGAGCCCCCCCCAAAATGCCCGGGAACCCAAAGCCAAAAAAAAAAAAAAAAAAAAAAAAAAAAAAAAAAAAGAGAGCTAGGCACGGCGGTCCGTCTGTAATCCCAGCAACTTAGGAGGCCGAGAAAGGAGGGTCACTGAAGGTTCAAGATTAACCTGGGCCTCAAAACAAACAGAATAAATGCAAAAGTGGACCCATTTTCTCCTGAGCTCAGTCCCTGCCACATGAGTCAGGTCACTGTGAATTAGCCAGTGGTGCCCTGTCACTAGGGACCTACAGGAGCTGAGGCCACCCTGCCAGGCCCTGGGCCCTGCCCCCACCTCACGGTACCCAGGCCCCTTCCCTCCACAGCGTGTTCATTCTGTTTTGATGGTTCTGCTGTGTTGCCAGTCTCCCGCCAGGGAGCAATAAAGCCACCAGCAGAACTGGGGTCCCAAGCCTGGCACAGAGCAAGATCTGTGTGTACTGGGAGGGGACAGAAGTGCTCTACAGAGTGCCTGCCAGTCTGACACCAAGCCTAGAGGGCTGGGTAGGTGAGCAAGGCTGCTTCAAGGGATGCCTAAACTCCAGGGGCAAGAGCAACGAGGGGCCAGTCGGCCACCTGGTGGACCTCTGTTCTATGGCCACACATCAGGGCCAACTGAGACAGAGGACCTCCACAGGCCCTCCCTCCCCTGATCCAAAGTCCTGGACCTTCGCCTGAGGCTTCAGAAGAGGTCCCTGGTACCCCGTAAGAACTGAGCTGAACTTTCACGAGGAACCCAAGTCTAGTCACAGTAGGCAGGACAAACAACAGGTGCAGGACAGCCGCCCTCTGGGGACAGCCAGAAGCAGCCCACGCCTGGCTCCAGACAGACTGCCAAACAGGAAGTGACGGAGCAGGGCCACCCTGAAGACACCCCCAGGGTGGAAGGGAAGGCGTACTTGCGACTGCTGCTCAACCCAACACGGCTGCAGCTCCTCACTGCCACCCTCCTCACCCAGCCTCTGGAACCAAAGCAGTCACACACCTGCCTCTACTGCAATCTTGCCCCAGCCTTTCACAAGCCCAGTGAAATCGGGACAGACCCCTCCAAGGTGAAGGAAGTGTCCTCTCCTCCAGCCTCCCCCTTGCCAGGTGCACTATCCACACAGGAAATGGTGAGGGACCCTGTGGGACCCAGGCGCCAGCACTTGTTTGGGCCGAGGATCCTGATGTACACAGGCTCACCTGGCCACTCACAGCCAACAAGAACACCGTTCAGTCCCCGAGGAGCGCCCTCATCAGCACCCTGCTGAACTGCAGTCCTGGTCACATCAGACCCTGGGTTGAGACCGTGTCTACCTCAGTCACAGCCTGACATGCAGCGATCTTGCTGTGCCTCCCGCTTCCTGTTTGAGGAGGCAGACACCTCCTTACCAACCTCTCCTGCCCTCCTGCTTCAGATCTCAGGGTACACAAATCCCCAGCCCCATAGCCTCGTGACATGGAGACAAGGGCAGGTATCTCCATGGGCACCATGTTCATCCTGGGGGACACAGGGGCCCCTAAAACACACACAACAGGGTGAGAATCCCTGGCTGTTGCTTATCTCTGGGTCCTGAGGTCATTCATTCAAGAGTCGCCACTTAGTAAAGAGGTGCTGGGCCTCAGGCAAGGGAGGGACACGACCTGAGTACCCCCAGCTCCAGCCTCCAGTCTGTGCAGCTCCAAGCCTAGGTTGAATGGCCAGCAGAGCTTGCCCATCCTGGGACCCCTCAGCACAAATCCCAGTCTTGTGAGCAAACGTATTGCACATGGCACTCACTTGGTTCTCAAGGTTGCCCTGTCACTGTGGCCACTCTGCAGAGGGGCAGCCTTAGGTACAGGCCAGCTCCGGCTCTAGCCCATGGTGTGCCTGACACCCAGCAGCCTCAGGACCACCAGCTGGTCCTCGGACCCCCGAGCCTGGCCCCACCTGATAGAAAAAGGATCAGTGAGTGGACATCCTACCACAGCAAGGTCCTCTTGAGGGCAGCTAGCCCTTCAAAAATAGCCCAGGAGAGGCTCCAAGTGCAGCAATGCCAGGGACACACCCCGGTGAGCCTAGGACAGACCCCGGTGAGCCCTAGGACAGACCCCGGTGAGCCCTAGGACAGACCCCGGTGAGCCCTAGGACAGACCTCGGTGAGCCCTAGGACAAACGCGGACACAGACCTTGGCTCTGAGAGGCTCTGACAGGCCAGACCAGCAGGCCACCTAGACGGGTGATCAGCTGCTCAGCCATCCTCTCCCACCTGTACGAACACTGTGCCCCAGGGTTGGCAGAGACCCTCAGCCACCGATGCTCCCCCCAGATTACCAGAGGCCTGGGGCTGGTACAAGCCATTGCCATGGCTGAGGAAAGCTTTACCAGATGCCAGGCCTTGGCCCCCAGATGCAGTTACATGACAGACAGGCACAGGCTGTGCAGCCAGCAAGGCCTGTTCAGCTTCCAACAGGAGCACCCAGCAAAAGCGTGAAGTACTCTGGGAGTTTGTAAGCTCAGTGGTGGCTCTGACCCACCCAGTGAGGACCCTTCAGTGGCTTGAATCATGGGGGCTTCCGAACAGCAAGGGCTCAGAAAGCCTGGGAAAAGTGTAGCCAGGCGCCTGTAGGCTGCCAGGGCTACCAAGCTGCCAGGGCTCCGGCTCCCACCAGGCCCTCAGCCAGGGCAGCCTCAGGCTCACAAAAACAGGCGCTGAGTCAGGGCCGCCAGGCCCAGCCTGATTGTTTGCATAGACAAAGACAAAGGGGCCGCTGACAGCCCAACTCCGTCCCAGCTGAGGACGGAACTCTCACGGCAGCTGACCCAGTCAGCCTGGCCTAGCTGTCCAGCCACAGCACCTGGGTCTCCCCAAGGTCCAGCAGGAACAGGAGGTAGGTGCTCCTCAGAGGAACTCACGGCTCACCAGAATGCAGAGTGGCCGCCTTGCCTGTTTGGGTCCGCACCCCTGGCAACCAACAATGGTCTAAGGCTGCTTTGTGGTCACAGTGCTGAATGACCAGCCAGCAGATCTAGTTACAAATCACTGTCACCGAAGTCAGGTGCACAGAACCTGTGACCCGCTCCTGAATACCCCGAATCCAGGAATCTGCCCACCCCAAAGACAGCAGGAGAGCTCTGATTCAGTGGGTTCCAGAGCCTGCAGCCCAAGTTCAAACCTCATCCCCTGGGAAGGTCACTGGCCATCTATGAAATGAAGGTGGTAATAGTCTGACCTTAGGCTTACTGTGAAGACAGGAGGAGGGCCTTCAAGGGGAGCCTAGCGCATATTTTTCTAAGTAGTGTGTCCCTGCTTTCCAGATGAGAAAAACATCTAAGGGGTACCTAGTTGGAGAGTGACAGAATCAGGATCTGAATCCAGATCTGAGGGTCCCAGAAGTCAAGCAATAGCAACTTCAGGGCAGGTGGGGAGGGGAGGCCCTGTCCCACAGCAATCAGGAGAGTCTGTATGTACATCTGATCTCAGTCCTGCACCAGCAGAGCAAGCCGCCAGAAAGCAGGGACAACCTCCTTCCTCACAGTCAGGGGGAAGAGCTGGTATGAAGATGACCAAGGCTGTGAGGTGTTCCCAAACTCCTTCTACACAGCCCCAGAGCCCAGGGCCAAAAAGAGGGCTCATTTACCCTAGTAGTCCTCCAAGTGCGTCCGCAGGACAGGGAACAGCAGAACGGGAAGCAAAGACTGGGCCCAGGCCTCAACCCCCTAGACAGGCCTTGCTGAGCTCACACCAATCCCCAAGGATGCCTGTGGGGAACCCTAATGCTGCCCACAGTACTTGAAGGGAGCACGTAGTACCCTCTCTGGTCACTTACCCACTGTGCGGACAACAAGCCCAGCCCAACCTGCCCAACACCCAACTCAAAGCACAAAACCGGGCTCACCAAGTGCTAGCATTGTAAAAGAAAGGCCTGTTATCAGAGCAGCCCCACTCACCTGACCCCATTCACACACAGCGCACCCAGGGCAAACAGGCCCCACCAATTACCTGGCTCTAAGGCCAGACCAAGTGAGTGGCAGGGTTCACTCTGTGTGTCCCTGAAGTGTGTGCATCCTTCCCCAAGCAGCTGCCGGCCTATCAGATGTTTAACAGCATGTGCTCCACAGCTCTTTTTAGGACAGAAGTGGGACACAAAGAGCCAACCAGTGACTCTCACCTGCTGCACCATTCACAAACCTCACATCCAAGCTGGCACAAACCCAGGTCAGAGAATATTCCAGAAGAGCCTTGCCTACCAGATCACACTTCATGAGAGCTGCTTGCACCGAGCGTGTACTGAGCCCTCCCCATACCCACTGCACAGATGGCTGTGTGAGCTGCCCAAGGTGGGGCCAAGTGAGGGGCAAGGCGTGCACCAGGCAGGCTTGAAGGCCTGTGCTCCTCTTGGTGGGGATGGAGAAATGCAGTTAGCCTCACCCCCCCCTTCCACATCCCCACAGCACAATCCAGTTTCCGAAAATAGCGATTTCCCCAGTCTTTCAGAACTGGAAAACCCAAAACGGCCACATGTCAAAGACTGCCCACCCACACCAGCCACATCCACTCACCCATATGTCCTCTGGATCAATGTGGGGTGTAACTGCTGCACGCCGACAGCAAAGCCTAAAACAAAAGGAAAGTTAGGGACGTCTGGCATGGGGAGGGTCCCCACAGGCAGAACCACACGACCACACTCTTGTCACAAAGGGGTCAGCTTCCTCTCTTCCCAGGCCACCACTCCCTGCTAGTGAGCCCCCCAATACACCCACTCAAACCAGGAAGGACCCTGGGTGGCACCAGCTCCTCTGTGACTCCCAATCTCCAGCCCTGGAGGGAACTTCCTCTCTCCTCAAAAGGACAGCTGACAGTCTGACAATCATGTGTCCCTGGGGCCACACACTGCTCAGGAAGGGGACCAGCTCCCAAGCTAGGGGTGGCTACCCTGGGCTGGTTCTGCAGGCACATGATAGCTGGCTGCCACTCCCGGGCAAGGGGGGGTGGTGGTGGTGGTGGCTTTTTCCATCCCACAGATAGCAGGCTGAATATAGAAACGAGGGATGGGAGAAAAACCCAAACTCTCTCTCACCCGTCTGGAGGCTCCTGGGCTTGGCACCCAGGTAGGCCAGGTTCACATTGGCCTTGCGGCCGTCGATGATAGGGTTGGGGTCTTTGCAGGCCCTGTCAGCCGCTGCTCGGTCGGCCATGGTCACCTGCGGGGAAGCACACAGGGTCAAAGCGGCTTTCAGTGGCTGGCCTGGGGAAGCAGGGTAGAGACTGGCAGAGGGTTCTGCCCTGGCACCAGGCCATCCCTTCTCCGTCTTTCCTCCCAGGAGGGCATGTGGTAGTCAGGACCCTTGGGGCCCAGTCTCCTCTGACCCCGGCCCAAACACTGCAAGCTCCTCCCGTTGAGTTCAAGTGCTGGGAAAACCAGCCTTCGAGGACGCCGATCATCCCCCGGGGGGTGGAGTAAAGAATAAAGAAAAAAAGAAAAAAGAACCCCAGGGGAAGCCCCCCCCGCGCAGGCTCTGACCGGCCGGAGTACCGTTAACTTTCTCAGGGGAGGAGCCTGGAGACGCTGGGGCGTAAAGGAAGTGGGAACCGAGTCTTCAGGTCGTTCCCCCTCGCGGGGACGCTCGTGGGGGGCCGGGCCGCCCCGCGCCCTAATTGCGCACAGCGGGTTCCGCGTGGGGGAGGGGCCGGCGGCAGGTGCGCGGGCGGCCGGGCCGCGGGGCCACTTACGAAGCCGTAGCCGCGGGACTTGCCGGTCTGGCGGTCGGTGATGACTACGGCCTCCTCGATGTCGCCGAAGCCCTCGAAGTACTTCCTGAGCGATGCATCGGTGGTGTGGTAGGGCAGGCCGCCCACGAAGATCTTGGTGAACGTGGTGTCCTTCTGCGAGCCGTGCATGGCGCCGGGCGGCCGCGAGAAGCCCGCGCTCGGGGCGCACGGCGCGCTCGGGGCGCACGCGGGCTGCAGCAGCATCGGGGGCTGCCGCTACGGAGCCGG